TGTCCCAATTATGGGAGGAAGCTAACTGCTTCCATCATCTGTCAATCGGCTCGTTACAAGAGTCCATCACAACAGAAACCCAATATTTTTACTGTTGCCTTTGTTATATTTGTGTTTTTTTATTTGTGCTAAACACACACACACACACACACACACACACACACATATATATGTTTGTGTGTGTGTGTGTTTTATTTGTGCAAATATAAACAAATATAACAAAGGCAACAGTAAAAATATTGGGTTTCTGTTGTGATGGACTCTTGTGACGAGCCGATTGACAGATGATGGAAGCAGTTAGCTTCCTCCCATAATTGGGGTTTACCAAGGGTTGTAAATAAAAAAATCTTAGGACAAGAAGCAATGGGTGGAAACTAATCAAGGAGAGAACCAACCAACCTAGAACCAAGGAGAAATTTCTTGACTGTGAGAAAAATTTAATGAGTGGACGGCTTGCTTCCAGAAGTTAGGGGTGCCCTCTATCACTTGAGATTTTTAAGAAGCAATTGAACAGCCACTTTTCTGGAATTCTTGAGCACTGGTTGAATGAGAAGACCTCCAGGGTCCCTTCCAATTCTGTTGTTCTATTACTTGATTGATATGAGATTGCTGTGCTTCACCCTCTTGTAAAGGTGGTTACCATCCATCCTTTTGTGTTTAGTCATCCCCTTTGAAGATGGACCTGATGGATCTGCATATGTCTGCTTTGGAACCAAGGCAAAAAAATGGAAATTTCTTAGTGGTGGTAGGTGGTGAGGGAAAGACAAGAGAATGACTCTGATGCCTGCTGGTGAAGTAGAGCTGGCAGGGTGATGGTAGCTGTTGACAAGTGAGCCCTTTTCCTTTCTGGTGGGAGGGGATCCTTGGGGATATGTTGGGATGGAGAAACGGGGTGCAGTTTTCCTTACAGTACATGTCTCCTTTGTCACTCTTCCCACAACAAAGTGGCAGGCAATTTTGTAGGCCAATGGAGGAGGAAGAGGCAGCTTCATCAGGGCTCTGCTGAAGGTCATGAGTAGAGGGGAAAATGAGAGCCTCTATTATATTTGGAAAAAAGATGATCCAATAGATCATGGGTTTAAAAAAAAATAATACATGGAAATCCCAACACCTCAATCCTGAATTTTTCAGATTTAAAAATTAAAATGATTGTATCACACTGATGTATTAGATTATGTTTTATATGATGGACAGCTTGCAGCTATGTCTTTTATAAAGCAAAGTGGGGACTGTATTACCTGCATTTCAGGAATTTATATTTTCAAAGCACTCTTCTTATTCCACATTTCACAAGTTTCCATAGAAAATATTTCATCAGCTGCTCCTAATTTATTTGATTTTAAGGGACAGTTTGAAACTCTCTCTTGAAACTAAACAGAAATTTACTGCTCGAGAAGCAGATGTAGAAATGGTAAAGTTCTGGATTTGACTAGCTTTGCTATGGACTAAAAAAAATCTCATCTATCATGCCGCTTCTTTCTTTAAAAGGGACATACAAAGTATAGAACATAGCTACTAACAAAATATATTAAAGGAAAATAAGAGAACAATATTTCTCTGTCTGTCTGTCTGTCTGTCTCTCTCTCTCTCTCTCTCACACACACACACACACAAACACACACACTGTATCACTTGTTAAGTTAGTAACTTCAGTTGTTAGTGAATCTGGCTTCCCCATTGACTTTGTCAGAAGATTGCAAATGGTGATCACATGATCTTGGGTTACAGCAATGGTCATAAGTGTGAACCAGGTGCCAAGCACCTAATTTTTTATCACATGATCATGGGAATGCTGCAAGGGTTATAACTGAAAAATGGTCATAAGTCATTTTTTTCAGTGCCGCTGTAATTTTGAATGGTCACTATGAACTAAATTGTGGACTACCTGTGTGTATAGTATAGCATAATATAGTATAGCATATACTTTATGATATAGTTTGTTGTTCAAGTAAAATCAGGAGGGAGGGGATTTTAATGTGGACTGGGAATCATCACTACATAATTCCATATCTAAAATAGTATGGCGATAATTCTCTGGTAAACCATCTAAAATGCGTGAAGTCAATCTACTTCATCAAATATTCTAAAAATGAGAAATCATGCTGTAGGCAAAGTGGTTTTTAAGTAGAGATCAGTTGACTAACATATTCCTACAGTTTTAAATTTGAACATTTTTTTTTCAGTATTCCTAGATATGGAATCAGTAAGGGTTTATTATTCATTCAATTCGGCATTTAGTTTTTAAAAAATATATACTTCAGGAATATTGGTGTTTTGCAGAATTATTAGGACAAATATCAGCTTGAGCTTGTTAACTACACCAATTTTGACCAGGGAATGACCTGCCAAAAATTGAAAGGCTGTTGGATTTACAAAATGCGGATTACACAATAAAAAAATGAGGGCAAATATTCATCTTTTAAAAGGGAGGAGATTTAATACACTTTTACCAGTGTATGAACATTATGGAATAGACAAAAATACGGAATGTTTCATAATTAAGTCAGGATTTCAAATCAATTTTTTAAAAAATCGACTGCTAGTGCCAAGAGTCTTCTGCTGTCTCTTATTTTTAACACTTGTATTTCTTATATTTGGCAAAAAAAATCATTCCAGCTGTGACTTGGCCAAAATGCTTTTCTGAAATTCCTACTAATTTGGATTAAACTCGATGTTTGAAAGCCTCAAACTGCAATGCTGGCAAGCAAACTGCTGAGGCCCCACTATTTCTTCCAAACTCTTATCTGCTGAGGCATTTAAAATGACCCAAGAGAATGGTGAAATCTAACTTGTTTCTTTCCACAGACAACTGACATTAGCAGACCAGGATTAGTGGGTGGAGCTCAATTTTTAATCTTTCCACTACTACTTATAGCTCCCATCCTTCCTCTTCAAACTGTTCCAGAAGGTTGGAAGAATTCTCTTGCGTTTGGAGTTCTATGTAAAGATTAAAAAATAATTGAAGCAATTGCCAGAAACATGTATATTCTTCATCTAAGTTTTAAAAAAACACTGATAAAGCTGTATCATATTCTATTTTTATTGATTTTCAAGTAATTGATTTTTAAATATTTTCCAAATTTTGTCTCGAGAGAATAATTAATGTCACTTTTGCTTTCATACAATAATTTTTGGGGAGTTTGCAGAGAAGCTTCTTCCACCCACCCCGTCCCAGTTGGCTTCCTTTATTTCTGCTGTAGAAGCAGGAAGAAGAAAGAAGCAGCTGTAAACTTTTCTAATTCAGCAGCAAAATAAATCATTCAGGCAAATAAATGACCTTGATGAATAGTATGTTTTCATTTCAGCAAAGAAGTTTGTAACAACCATCTAACATGATTTCCAATCATGTCTCTTGCCCATTTGCACAAGACTTCAATTCCACATCCTGAAATAAAAAATGGCTATTTTGCTTTTGAGTGGGTAACAGTTGCCTTGCCAAAAGATTGTTCATCTCTACACACTGAATGAGTTGCTTGGCTGGATAATCGGTTTTTATGTCTTGTTTATATTAAGTAAAGAGAAAAACTGAAATCTTGAAGGACAAAAGCCAAGTAGTATCTTCATGCTTTAGTTCTTTATGTGTAGATAAATATTGTACCCAAGATAGAGTTCTGTACAAGTTGTGCAGAAATGTTAGAAATTAAGAATGCTTTCAGAAATAGAAGTATTAATAGTTTATGTTTTATTATTTAACAAAATGGAAAGTAAATGAACAGAAGATAAATCCAAATCGAATCAATATTTGCTATAACTACTCAAAACAGCACCAATTCTTCTAGATACACTTTCACACTGTTTTTGAATGAATTTGGCAAGTCTCCTTCAAGCTTGTTCATAACATCTTGGAAAACTAACCACAGACCTTACCTGTATGTAGGCTGCCTCAAATTCTTTATGAAATTCCAAGCAGACTTGAT